GCATATTGTTGTCAAGCAAAGAGCACGATCAGCCTACCGTTGTATCTCAACAAGCAAAATGTTCATAAGTTGAGTTCTACTCGATGAATTTTGATAAACTTTGTTTTCCGTTTTCCTGTACTGAAAATACCCATTTTTAATCTGCTTTAGTTTCCGAGAAATCATAGTGGCAAGTATGTAGCTTCTAACGACACTTATCGAAAGACAGCCAATATCTTGCTTAGACCATTGTGACTTTTTCTAAATTATTTTTTCGACTAGAGTTATAGAATTTTTCAAGAATTTTCAGAATATGTCTTCGGTTTTAGCTATAGACGAAGTTTTTTCTATGAAAAACTATCAACAATAGGAGTCAAAAGACTTTATTTTTGTGTGCAGCGACATTAGAGCCAAATGGTATTTCGCTTGAAGAAGCTTTATGCGAACAACGTTGGTTGACTTTCAAAGAGAAATAGAGGAAACTTTGAAAAGTAAAAAAACAAAGTGTCTTTTTATAATCTTTATTAATACAAAAAATTTTACACAAAACTAAAAAGAAATGATTTTCGAGTTGGGTGTAGAACGACTTTCTCAATTTTCTTACTCCTATAACTCAATGAAAACTAAATGATTTTTCATAAAAAACTGGCTCTTTTTTTCAACTCATCCAATAGAAAAATATCTTAAAAAACCAAGCGAAAAAACTTTCTTCATTCGAGAGAAAATTTTGTTTTACTAACTAAGTGTACAGGTACATCTTCTGAAGTATTCATACATTAAAGCTGATATATATATATATATATATATGAGAATAGTATGTAGAAATCGGCCTCGACACAGGCAAGTGCTGGGAAAATAGTATTTTTATAGACAATCTACATTACTCTATAAAATAGAACATTTAGTTTTCTCTTTTTATTAAAATTATTTTCATCTTTTTTTTTCCTTCAACATTTTCATGGCCGTACTCTTCATTCTGGCACTAATTTGAACATAAGAAGAGCGTTTTTGCTAATCACTCTAATATATTTTCAATTATGAAAAGTAATTCTTTACTTTACCTTCACTTAATACCTAGCAATCTTTTTGATAATTAGTGTTTACTCTACAAAGTAATATTATTACAATTGTTTTTTTGTTTCTAAAGAGTATGTTACACAAACTTCCTTTTCCATAGTATCACTATGACTATAAAAGGAAGCTCCAGTTATAATATATGCTGCTTTTTTTTGATGAGCTTCTCATTTCTTCATTTGAAATATGAGGAGAACAGTTCCAATGGAGACATCAAGGTTAAACTTTCGATTAAATCCTCTACAGTATGTTGGAAATCTTAATTTATTTGAATCGGAATCAAATGACCGAGAGACTTTGCGTCATCAGTACTTATCTACACGTCTCTACCTCTGCATATTATCTTTGCTTATGATCAGTCTAATTATTTATACTGTTCTGTTATCCCGTACTATTATTGTAACAATACTTCGATCCTCTGAATATCAGTTTACACAACTTAATGCTCAGTATTCCGACACTCGCAAATGTCCTTGTACGCATATTACTCAACAATACGGTGAGATTGTTCATTCTGAGGTGACTTTTCATGAAGTTTGCCAAAGTGAATTTATTTCTCAACAATCTATTGATATTATCTATGGTGCCCATGTTACATTTATTTCACCGATTGATATTCGAACAATGTTGAGTGCTTTTTGGTAACTAGTTAGATCTTTTTATGATTTGTTGAAAAATACCCTGATCGATGCGTATACGAATTTCAATGCTACTATTTTATTAAGTACAACGGCGCAATCTAAATTTATGATTGAGACAAAAGTCAAGGCATCTCTGAATGTTTCTCTCTCTTCAGCAAGCAGTAACCTTAGACGCAATTTTCTGATTACACACCAGATGATATTAGGTAATGGATTTATATCAGGTTTGGCAACAAATTACTACATTCATCTTCCTGAAACATTGGGGCAGTACACTTATCCAATAAGCGCTGCTAACATTTTTGAAGATGGATGTCTTCGACCTGTTGTTGTCTTCGAATTAAATGGAACATCGAATTGGACAAATGTGACTGGCATAATGTTTGCTTGTTTACCCTTGGATGCTTTCTTGCTTCGTCACTTGAATGCTTTTACGATAGACGGTGTCTATCACTGGTGCAGAATCATATATCAATCAATATGAGACTACAACCATTGAAGCGCTCGAGTCATTTATTACCTAGCACTACGATTCAGGTATACCTTGATAAGTTAATGATTGAAGAACTAACAACAACAGTTCTCTACACTATGTACTACCCAACAGCGATCCGACACAATGCACGTACTCATACTCGCACAAATTCTGTGTAATTTTCATTCTTACACTCGTAACGAGTACCTTTGGTGGAGTTTCAGCTTTACTACTCATTATTGCACCGCTCTTGATCAAGTTTGCATTTATTGTGCGTGCGTGGAAAACACGGAAGAATTCCATAGTCATCGACAATAATCACAGAAAGATAAATGATCGTAAGTAATACATGTAACATACGGAAGCCTTTGTACTTCAAAGCTGCTACTCTAGCTATGATCACCGACTGGTCAGAATTTCGGTTCAAGAAACTCTCGAACCAAGCTCGAATTTCTTTCATTCATCCTCATAAAAAGTCTTATTTCTATGAATATTTGGTACACTTCGTAGCGCTTTCAGCAAGATGGTGCCATGCTAAACAGTATGAATTCATGTCACATTATAGTTGTAGCATTTTGGTCACCAAATCCTATTTAGAGAGATGACATTGTATATTACTAAGTAGTAGTAGATGAAAAGTACTATATGAATCTCTCTGTTAAAATGTTTCAGTTAGAGCCATTTCTGGTTCAATCAGTGGTTAGATTACTGAAAAAAAATTAATTACAAATTCTTAATGTCACATATGAGTGGGTACGGATATATACTCGTACTCAATGGGATGATGAATAGATTTTTATTAAACTTTCCGCACTGTTTCAAAATAAGATATCAAGATATATCGCAAAAATGAATTTACAAGTAATAAAACGGTCGAAACATTAACAACATTTACGAAGAAATAGTAGCCACTTAAAAGTACATCAGATTAATGTCACCTGATAGTCTTATTGAGCACTCCGCCATGTACATTAGCATTTATTGCATAAAGTAACTTTTAAGAAAGTTAATGAGATTAATTTGATAGTGGGTCGAGTGTCTTGTATGACTTTTAATCTGTACCAAAAATTGCTTGGATCGAAACTTATGTAACTCTGATCATGAGAGTAGACTCTAGGCTAAATCTGATTTATTGATAATTACAATTAAAATTATACGAACGTAGTCAATTATGTTTCTACATTCCTTTTCAAGATTTAGATTAGATACAGAAATGCAGATGAGTATTTCGTTACAGTTTAATAGGCGCATTTTTTATGTAGTTTTGTTTTTAAAGTTAATCGTTTTTGAAAATAACGAGCAATATTTTGAAAAATTTCTCAGAGTTTATAACAGATTCGATCATAACAAAATTATTTCGAGAAGACAAGAAATTCTTCTAATTTCTGATCGAGTTATTTACATCAGTTGAATGTAAAAGAACTTTTGGAGTTCTCTCAGTAATCAGTTTATACCAAGAACTTCATATGAATTATTATGTACAACAATCTTTCTTGGAGAGACGATTATTGCGCGATACACAGCAGTATTTGTTCAACACATGCAGTACTTGATTGAAAGTGACAAGAATCTGAAAACGTGAGTTGTTCATCAAATGTCATCAAGTGATGCATCTCCGATCTTTGTTGAGCAGTAGTACTAGCTGCGAATGTGTGGAAACAGTTTTCTGACCAGCTTCGGGACCACATTTTTGAAAAAGTTAAGAGAGCGAAACTAACCTCAGAATAGTTTGTAGAACCGATATTTAATCTATCTGGACATTCTAAGTACTTTCCCAAATGATTCGTTAGAAAATTTCTCACGAGTTCAAACACTTATATTCAAGAACATGCATTAGAGAATGAAACAATACTCAAGTTCTAGCTACCAGCTAATAAGATAAATATTAGCTTTTATCTATATTTGGCTTATATATCTTTTTATCTACTCAAACAAAAATGATCACCGTAAATAGTCCGTCTCCCAAAGACTTTGAATATCTATGGGAATTACATCCAGATACTTTACAGTGTCTATGCTCACAAATTGCTGTTTCATACTCGGATTTCATCGTAATCAATTCTACGTTTCATCAACTATGTTCGAGTCGAATCATATCACCAGATTGGTACAATCTTCTGACTCTAATTAACTTGACCGCATGGATGGATGCAAGACAATTTGAGAGAGGAATTGGTGATCTCTACTTTCAAATACTTGATATGTTTTGTTCACTAGCAGAGAATACTTTTGTTAATGCCTATCAATTATTCTCTGCTAAAGCATTCATCAACACCATTCTTATACCTGAAACACTCTTTTCCAAGCAAGTCTCCACTCTAATTGATACACTCATAACGACAGTTCGTAGTGAATTCATTCGTATCTTGGCATTTGTTTGCGAAACCATTCAAGAAAGCCAACTTGCAAATCGAACAATGTCAAATTATGTTTTAATGCTCGATGATAATA